AGTCATTTCTGACCACGGCACGAGGAGCACCAAAGGGTTAATAGATATACAGTACCGTTCAAAAGTTTGGTACGATTTTTTTTTAATGTTTATGAAAAATCTCGTGCTCACCAAGAAGATCTTAAAAAAAAAAATACAGTAAAAACAGTAATATTGTGAAATATTATTGCAATTTAAAATAGCTGTTTTCTATGTGAATAAATGTCAAAATATTATTTAGTTCTGTGATCAAAGCTGAATTTTCAGCATCATTACTCCAATCTTCAGTGTCACATGATCCTTCAGAAATCATTCTAATATGCTGATTTGCTGCTCAAGAAACATTTCTGATTATTATCAATGTTCAAAACAGTTGAACAGTTGTCTGTGAAAACGGTGATACATTTTGTTTTTCAGGATTCTTTTATGAAGCTCAACAGAACAGAATTTATTTGAAAAATAAATCTTTTGAAACATTATACATGTATTTACTGTCATTTCTGCTCAATTTAATGCATCCTTGATGATTAAAACTAGGCCTGGGCGATAAAACGGTATCGATATTTATTGACAGTACACCTTCTTCGATAATGATATAAAAAATGTTCGATATAGCGCACTATATAGGCACGTGCTATGAGTGACGCAGACAGCACACACAAACACGAACATGAGTGCTGTGTCTGCCTGTGATGAGGAGGTTAGATTAATAAAAAAATGAATATTAGTCAAATTTGTCATTTGAATGTGAGGTGTGCATCAGGGAGCGTCATCAGTGGTGCGCGAGATGCGGTGATAATGATGTAAGTGACGTTGTTGCATTTTAATGTTTTGTTAGTCTAGCCCACGAGATGCGCCGCTGCTGTGTTAAGCATTCAAAATATTAGAGAAATATAGAAGCTCAGCCATGCATAGAAGGTCTTGATTAGGTTAAAACAGAAACCAAGCCATTCACACAGATGCATATTCAGCGCATTTTTAGATGGACAAATATGACTGCTGCACTCGCGTCTCACACAAGCGATGTAGCCATGCAAAGTTAAAACAGTTTAAACTTTTAGAAAACACGTCACGAATTTGTGGAGGTTTATTTCTTTTGACTGTGTCTCGTATGTTTTTAAATGCAATCTGCGTGAATGGCGATTCGGCTCTTTGGATTAAGCAATGCATAAATACATGATGCTGTTTTGTTCATAATTGTTTATGCAATTTACAAAATTATATTTGATTTACATGAGTTAATTTAGACGTAATGCAAGTTTTTTTATAGATAGTTATTTCCTTGCGTTGACAATTTAAATGTGCTGCATTATTTTGCTCATTGCGCCCTCCTGTGGCCTCGGGAGACAAGCCAAAATTTTCCTTAAGACCTATTTAATCTGCATATAAAACATTAGAAATTAGATATTTGTTTCATTTTTATTGTGTGTTTCACTGTTAAAACAAAAAATATTTGTTGTTTGTCTCAATAAATTGGGTTAATTAAAAATACAGTGGTTAAATAAAAAAAAAAATTCTATTGCTTTGTTTTAAAAAAAGGTTATAAAAAATGTCAATAATTATCGATACCGAACGATATGAAACATTACATCGATAAATTTTTTAGCTATATCGCCCAGCCCTAATTAAAACTATTAATTTCATCATCTTTTTGCCCCCATACTTTTGAACGGTAGAGTAAACACCCCTCCTTTCACTCTACTACCCACAATCCCTCACCTTATCCGCCAGGTCCCAGATGCGGATGGTTCCATCATCGCTGGCAGAAATGAAGACGTCTTTGGAGGGGTGTGTGGCCAGACCCCAGATGCGTCCCTGCGTGTGTCCGTTTATCATGGTGTTGGAGGCGGCGTTCTTCTCTCCCACCTCGATGATCTCGCCATCCTTCGTTCCCACCAAGATCTTTCCCTGCCATCCAATAAAGAAGCATCTTACCACTGTCTAAACTTACACTTGAAATCACTGCTTGTGTCTATGTGAAGTCTGCAGAAAGCGAAAGCATGACTGACCTTTCCTCTGCACACAGATCTGACTGTCTCAACAGGAAGTCCTGTCTCCAGCTGAAACGCTCTGCATCTCTTCATTTCCTGATCCCACAGTTTCACAGCGCCGCCCTCTTTAGTCCTGCACATACATAATATACACATCAGTGAGGCGATGACATGATGCTCATTTTTTGTAGTATAACTTTAAGAAAAAGTTTACCTTAAAAAGTATTTTAAATCTGTACACTTACTTTAATTTCTATTTCTAATTTCACTTAATTTCTATTTCAAATAAATGTTCTTGTGAACTCTCTATTCATCAAAGAAAAATAAAACAAAATAAAAATAAATTAAAGTAAATTCAAAACCAAATAAATTAAGGTTTCCACAAAAATTCAACATTGATGATTAAAATACATGTTTCTTCATGTTTCAAATCAGCATCAGAATGATTTCTGAAGGATCACGTGACACTGAAGACTGGAGTAATGATGCTGAAAATTCAGCTTTGATCACAGAAATAAATTATATTTTATAGTATATTCACATAGAAAACATCTATTATAAATAGTAATAATATTTCATAATTTTTACTGTATTTCTGATCAAATAAATGCAGCCTTGGTAAGCAGAAGAGCCATCTTTCAAAAACATTAAAAATTCTTACTTTCTCCAAACTTTTGAACTTTTATTCAAGGTGTAAGAATTTTTTTCTCTATGGTCAAAACAATTTAGCTGAAAATGATTTTTAAAAACCATATGAGCCCAGCAGATGAACTTGTGTGTACTGTGTAGAGCTGAACTCACGGTCTCTCTTTGCCTCCGGTCACTATGAGTCCGTCTCTGAGCGTGGTGTACATGGTGAACACTGGTCCTGTATGAGCTTTAGCCACCACACGCACCAGGAAATGCTCCCGCCACACGTACACGTCACCGTTTATGGCCCCCGTGTTTATATTTTATTATTATTTCACATATTATTCTATAAATGTATGCTGTGTAACTACCAGGATTATTATAGTAAATTAAAATTACAACCACAAAAACCCATCTTTGTTACTTGAAATAAAATAATAAAAAAAATAAAAAAATAATTTCAGCTAGTTGCCAAAATATAAATATAAAAACTCATTCAAAATGAATTAATAAACATAAACGCATATTTAAATGCAATAAATAACTGCATAAATACATGTAAAAATAAATGCACTAAATAAATGCATGAATAAATGTATACAAGCTTAAACGAATTAATAAATACAAAAACATAAGTAAATGCTTAAACTACATATAAATAACTATAAATAAATGCAATAAAGCACTAAATGCATAGATACGTGCATAAATTCATAAATAAATGCGAAACTGAATGCACTAAATACATAGAGATAAATGCATAAATGAATGAATGAATACATTAACATATATATAAATGCATACTGCATAACTGCATATAAACAACTGTATAAATGATAGCAAAAATAAACACACTAAATGCATAAATTCATAAATGCACTACATTCATAGAAAAATGCATGAATAAATGCATATAACATTGTGATGAAAAGCAGCAAATATTCAACACACTACACCTGTATGGCTTGAAAAAATAGCCAGTTACTGGAAAAGTTAATCTAATTAGAAAAAAATGTAGTTGTACAATATAGTGTAGAACAAATTAAAATGAAAATTAATTTAAAAAACCTTTAATTTCAGCTAGTTGCCAAGGCAACGTTCTCATTTTCAATTAGTTACAATTCATAAAAACTCTACAGACATATTAAAAAAAAAAAATAAATAAAAATAAAAATGACAACACAACAAAATGACTAAACTTTAATAAAAATTCAAATTGAATTAAAATGAGAACAGGAAATATAAAAATGAAAATGAATTAATAAAAACTGTAATGTTATCTCAATGATACTAAAATAACACTGGTAACTACAATTATTCTTTAATAAAGAAAATAAATGATTTATATGCATCTAAACGGTCACTACTGTGCTTGTGAGCAACACAATTAACCCCAGATTGGGAATCATTCCTGTAATCAGTGTACTGCAATATCAGCTTAATAAGCATAAATGAGTGACTCACGGCTCCAAAGGCTACAGACAGCATGGTCTGCATGCGTCCGTCCTCCACCGCTCCGATCACACCTTTCTTATAGAGCAGAGAGCCTCCCACCAGCGTCCAGAACTTGATGTGTTTGATCCCCACCGACACAAACTGAGTGTCCGAGTCAGGCCTGAACTCCACCACGAAGATCCGGTCGGTGTGACCGCCTCACACGCACCAGGAAATGCTCTCGCCACACGTACACGTCACCGTTTATGGCCCCCGTGAACGTCAGGTTATTCTGCCAGACAAAACACACAAGAGAGAAAATTACCATTTCATATGCACATACTGTATATGTATGAAACATAATATACAGTAGTCTTATTGTTACTACATTATTTATGTAGTGCTTTATATAATACAGATTGTTTCAAAGCAGCTGCATATTAATAAAACCGGAAAATAACAGTGTCAATGATGTAACATTCATCCATTATAAAACTATTTGGGCTGCAAAAAAGATGTCATTATTCAGCTAAATTTAGATTTATTATAGTTTCGATTCAGTTCATATTACTATATGTATATATTATTATATATTTATATACATATATAATTTTTTGTCAAAAGAAACATTTGAGAGAGTATATATATAAATATATATATAAAGCATAAATGAGTGACTCACGGCTCCAAAGGCTACAGACAGCATGGTCTGCATGCGTCCGTCCTCCACCGCTCCGATCACACCTTTCTTATAGAGCAGAGAGCCTCCCACCAGCGTCCAGAACTTGATGTGTTTGATCCCCACCGACACAAACTGAGTGTCCGAGTCAGGCCTGAACTCCACCACGAAGATCCGGTCGGTGTGACCGCCTTTACTGCAAACCCTAGAGCCTGAGATCACATGATGAAAGCATTCACAACAGCGGCCTGCTGCATCTCTGCTGAGTAAAGGCCATTACTTGTTTCTTTCTCATTTTAAGATGCTAATGTCAAAGACAGTGCCTATTTTAAAAGTCAGAATTGTGAGACATAAACTCAAAGTTATGAGTACCAGTGTTATTTTAGTATCATTAAAATACCATTATTGTTTTTATTAATATTTAGAATTTTGATATTTTCCTTTTTCACTGTAGTTTTAGTTGAAGTGTTAGTAATTTTGTTGTATGTTTTTATCATTTTTTATTTTGTAAATACGTCTATGTAGGTTTTTTATTACTTTCAGTTTTAGTTTTAGCTATTTTAGTGGCTTAATTAACTAAGTTAAAATAATTGAGAATGAGAAATTTTGCCTTGGTAACTAGCTGAAATTGTTTTTTTCTTTTTTTAAGTTTTATTTCAGTTAATGTTTTTTCATTTCTAGTAACAAAAATGTTTGTCGCATTGTTTTAATTAGAATTGTGAGTTTTTCTAAGTTTATATTTATTTTTTTGCAAGAAAAGAGTATGAATTGTGAGATGTTAACTCACAATTATGAGTTTATAACTTTATTTTCTTTATTAAATAATTTTTTGTATTTTTATTAATATTTAGAATCTTTATCTTTACATTTTCTATTTTTGTTTTAATTTTCAAATTTTGGATTCCTGTCTTCCTCGAAGGAGATTACAAATATTTTTTCCATTCTCAGCCCATTTTCACATGTATGAATGAATCTTAATTTATGCCTAATCCTGATTTCAAGGACAGAATTATGGCCAAACATGAGCCAGATGTTTTCTGCATCATCTGTGGGTGTTTTTCTACACCAAACAGTGACAGAAGATAGCAGATTTTGTGAAACAAAACAAAAAACCTTATTTATTTATAAACTTGTGTTTATGTAAAGTTCTTTTACATTAAATGAAGCATTTAATCATATTGTTCAGCTCCTTTGCAGATTGTAAGTTAAATGATACATTTTGAATACTTCCTTTTGTCATCAAAACTGAAAGATTTGACTGCTTTTGTTATTTTGATAAGCTGATAAACATATAATTTGAAAAATAATTCTTATTTTGTGAACAAACTGCATGTGATGGAAAGTTTTATTGATATTTTTGAACTCAGCATCACCAAACTACAAAAGCTACTGTAAGTACACACTGATCACTGGTTTTCACACACCTTCCTGCCATCTCCACACAGTGATGGTGTGCTCTGGATCCACTCCCACAGACAGCAGCAGTTTTCCCGTGGCGCTGAAGTTGACGTATCCGATCCCTTTAGCGTGAGAGCAGCGCAGCACCGACAGCGTCTGCTTGCTCATGGCGTCCCACACGTGAATGGACGGCACCAGGCCTACAGACACACACAGACCGACATCACATTATGACCGTCAATACTCACAGCTTAAGGAAAAACAGTGCCTCCCAAACTGCTCCTTTCAGCAAGACAAAGACAAATAAAATCCATTAGGTGTATTAGAAGACACTGATTATGCAAATGTTGTGGGCTATTTATATTAATAAACAGTGCTGGGAAGCTACTAAGAAACTGGCTTGAAGCAGATGCACTGCAGTAAAGACTCATTTAGAAAAAGTAGTAAGCTAAACTACAAGCTACTAACAAGAAGCAGTTAACTAACCTATTTAAAGGGGGATTATTTAACTTCTTATTGAAGCAGAGCTGTATTTTTCTGGCACAAAACAATGAGGTTATTAATGAATTTTTTTAACTGACAAATTTACACTAAATGCAACAATAAATGCACTACATGCATAGATAAATGCATGAATAAATGCATACAAGTTTAAATAAATGGATACATAAAGCATAAATGCAATAAATAACTGTATAAATACATGTAAACAAACACATAAACAAATGAATGAATAAATACAAAAACATAAGTAAATGCTTAAAAAACTAAATAAAAACATAGATAAATGCATATAAATAACTGAATAAATAAATGCAAAATTGAATGCAATAAATGCATACATAAATGCATACAAGCATAAATGAATGAATTAATAAATAAATGCATACTGCATAACTGCATATAAACAACTGTATAAATAAAAGCAAAAATAAACACACTAAATGCATAAATTCAAAAATGCACTTCATTCATAGAAAAATGCATAAATAAATGCATGTAACATTGTGATGAAAAGCAGCAAATATTCAACACACTACACCTGTATGGCTTGAAAAAATAGCCAGTTACTGGAAAAGTTACTCTAATTTGAAAGCAATAGTTGTACAATATAGTGTAGAAAAAATGTAGTTAGTGTCGCTACTTTTAGCTAGTTACTTTCCAACTCTGTTAATAAGTGGCAGGATGAGTTTGGGATAACTATTATGAGTTCATAATGATAGTCCTCAGGGTTTTTAACATGGCAGAGCAAACACACGCCGCAGGCATGTCAATATTAGATATGTATTCTAGCGCTGAGGAAGGAAATGAGGCATCATGACTCTGAGATGATAGAAAATCAGGCCAATCTGCTGCATGATGCTTCATGCAGACATGAGAATGTATTCTTCAGAGCGGTGGTCTTTACCAAAACTGGGACATAAAACACGAGGGAAATGAGAGGATTGATTGATATAGAGCAAATGATTTAAATCTGAAATCTGTGGCATCCAAATTCAAAACCCTCATGAACCACAGACAGATGTTATTCGATCAAACGTAATATTAAAGATTGATAAAGATTCAAAACACATTAAGTGATCGTATCTATGACATGCTGTTAAGAACCAAATACATTTATTTAAACTTTACTTTGGAAAAGTTTTTTAACCAGAGCTGTATTTTTCTGGCGCAAAAACAATGAGGATTTTTAATGAATATTTGAACAGACAAATGCAACCATAAATACATAAACACATGAATAAATGCATATCAATAACTGCATGAATAAATGCAAAAATAAATGCACTAAATGCAAAGATAAATGCATAAGTAAATGCATGATTTCATTCATATATGAATAAATAAACCAAATTAAATAATTTCAACTTTAATTTGAAAAAAAAGTCTATAAAGGGTTTAAAAGCAGAAATGTGAAGTTTGTATATTTATTAAAGTATTTGTATTAATTATTCTGTTCAAAAATGTTATTTAAGCTGTAATATTTTAGTTTGTTACTCTTATTCTTTTTTTTAAGTTATTCTTAAAAGTTTGGAAAAGTTAAATTTTTAATGTTCACGAAAGAAGACTCTTCTGCTCATCGAGCGAGGCTGCATTTATTTGATATTGGCTTTCAAAAATAAAGAATTATCGGTTATCGGTATCGGCCAAAATTTTCATATCGGTGCATCCCTATTAAAAATAAAGCAAAAACAGTAATATTGTGAAATATTTTTACAATTTAAAATATCTGCTTTCTATGTGATTATAATTTAAAATATAATTTATTCCTGTGATCAAATCTGAATTTTCAGCATCATCACTCCAGTGTCACATGACCCTTCAGAACTCAGATTTTAATCAGATTCTTTGATGGCTACTTCAACTGCATTATTTTAGTTTATTTATTTAACATTATTATGTTATATTAAAATGTTATTTATTTTTTATTTGATGATTATTATACTGCTGATTATTTATTGCAGTAACTGCATTATTGTAGTTTGTTATTATAAATATTTATTTTATACATTATATTAAAACATTATTATGCAAGTTATTCTTATTTAGTTTCTTCTTCTAAACAGATAAATCAGTGTGCATATCATATGGTGGTTACCATATTAACCGGTTTAACATGCGTTTAACTGGTAACATAAAATCTAATTTTAACATCACAAATTTAACACGGAATCTAAATTAATGTCTATGGAATTCAAGTGTTTAACATGCGTTGAACCCGGATCATTGCTTTAAAGTAGAAATGCATGTTTTAGTTCTAGGTTGGAGCCCAAAAAATCTGTCCTGGATTTCTGGAGTCAAACACAAAAGGTCAGTGAGACAAAATGAAGTCAGATGGCAGGAGGTTCTGCTGTCCTACCTGGCAGATCAGCGAAGTTGCCTGTGTGTTGGTGTGTTGGATGAGAGGATGGGACAGTGATGAACAAAAATGAGAGAAGCCAAAGCAGAATTACGTGAGAGATTCAAAATATTAGCAAAAATCACAAGCAGGCTTGTTATCAACACAAAACCAAGCAGTGCACGCTGAAAGCAGCAACGCAAAAGTCAACGCAAGCGAATGAAAATTATTCAGATGGTGAAAATTACATCGATTTGCATAAAGAAATGTGTGTAGATGCCAGGCTGTTCATTAGCTCACATACCGATCTGACCGGTGGCGATGATGTTGAGATATTTGGGATGTTGATTGACAGTCAGACAGAGGATGTCATCCGTGTGCTCCAGATAAAAGCTCTGAGTTCCTGCAAATCACAAACGACTTCATCTACAACAGCATGCATGCAGTTTTAATGAGCTCATATTAACAGAAAGACTACATGTACTTTTAAAAAACTATCACACTGCAATATTATTTTAGTAAACAGCAAAAAAAATACTTCTCTCATACACTGCTTCAAAAGTTTCTGATCAGTAAGAGTAAGATTTTAAAAATGTTTTTAAAAGAATTCTCTTCTGCTCATCAAGGCCGCATTTATTTGATTAAAAATACAGTAAAATCAGTAATATTGTGAAATATTATTACAATTTAAAACAACTGTTTTCTATGTGATTATAATTTAAAATGTAATTTATTTCTGTGATGCAAAGCTGAATTTTCAGCATCATTACTCCAGTCTTCAGTGTCACATGATCTTCAGAAATCATTCTAATATGCTGATTTGCTGCTCAAGAAAACATTTCTGACTATTATCAATGTTGAAAACAGTTGTATAAAGTTGAATAAAAGCAAGGATGCATTTCAAACTTTTTAAACTGTATATTCTAATAAATTCTATGTAAACTTCAACCCAAAAAATTAATACTATATATATATATATATATATATATATATTTCACAATCAAACATTAGTTTGAATGTCCGCTGAAGAAAGCCATATCTTTGTTGTACTATCTTTCATCTGTTGAGGGTGATTTCCGATGACAGAGCTGCTCACTGCATTTGTTAACCGTGTCTTACAAGCTGTTGTTGAAAGTAAAAACAGCTTCATTGTTTGCAACAGCGTTTCAGTCTCTTTCAATATAAAAGTCTCTTTTCGCCATCTAATGGTGAAACAATGTAACTAATAACCATCACGAACATACACACCATTTCCCAATACTAAATTCTATTATTAAATACTGCTATTATTTATATAAAATATTTTTTAATAAACAACAACAGCCATCATAAAAGTTGCTAGGCAATTCAGACAAAAGTACAAAGGCAGCGCTCATTTATATAAAATATAACGTGATGAGATTTTGCCCTCAGCCAAAACTATTTGCTCTGGAACAAATAATAGATTAATCAGACCAAAGTCTGCCCGTTAGATTCACCCAAAACGAATTATATCTCATGTTTAACCACTATAGAGACATTAGAGCCAGCGGCAAATTCCAGAAGATCTGGCCACGGTGAGGCTGCTCTCGGCGGGTTCATGAGCGCTGATCGGCCGCTGACGCCCTGGAGCTCACATCTCCCAAAACATAGCAGCAAACTTTCAAATAGACATTATCTTTATTAACAAACCGCATATTTGAAGTCTAAACAAGTATATTCTCGCCTAAAAAACTCTTAAAACTACACTCCGTGACACAAAAACAGTATTTATAAAATTATAGTGGAGTTGGGCATCTGCCATGACACTCGCTGTGAGAAATACTGCAAGCGGAGTGATTTAAACGGTTGGAGTGCTGTTATTACTAGAATATCACACTCCTCTCAGTCAATCAGATTCGAGAACCACAAAGAACTGTTGTATAAATATATATATGTAATTATACTTCAGTATAATATAATAAAGTACACATTTGATTAATAATTTTTAAATATGTCATGACTAAAACTGGTTTAGTTCATTTAACTGTATGTCTGAGCCTCGTCACAAGCATTTCAATGCCCAGTTTTCCCCAGTGTTAACTATGCAAATGATAAATAAATGCCTCTTGACCTCTAACCTCATCACTTCTTTTTTTAAACAGATGTGCAGTTCCAACCGCAGCCTGTAGAGGTCAGCAGCGCCTCATGCCTGATCTGGAATCAGATCCAATGAGATCCACAATCTCATCCAATGCATAAAGTCAAACTGTACTGTGTTTTCCCTGCATATTAGCCACATGTTGAGACAAAAACCAGACACCAAGCCAGAGGGCAGAGGTCAGCAGTGATGCTGAATCAGGACTGTACCAGCAGAGAGGTTCTGAATAACAGCAGCGGCGGCTGTGTGGAAGATGATGTCAGCTCCATCATTGAGGTAGTGAAGGTTGTTTCGGCAATCAAAGCCCCTGTAGCCAAACACGTGATCCAGAGACAGTTCCTACAAACACACACAGACATCAACACACACACTGACAATAATGAGGACAACCCTGACTCCTCATGAGCTCATAACCCCACTGACCTCGACCATTTTCTTCTTCTTTGTGATGTTGTTCTTCACCAGTTTGTCAGGTAATGGCGCGGCGCGGCTCACTGGAGGCCTGTAGGAAACAAATAATGATGTTTTGACATGAATAAATACAATTTGTCCCTCAGTATATTTGTCTTCATTTGCATTATAAACATCCTTAAATCAATATATATTTACTTGAGATGCAAAATGACTTGATGTTAATCCTTTCTGATAAATGCATCAAGTTTATGTTTAAAACACGAACAAATATCTGCCAGTGGGATCATCAAAATCTATTTAATTCAAAGGGAAAACAAGTTGATTTTTCTTACCTCACTGACAGATATTTTTCTTGTTTTAAGCATAAACTTGTTTCATGTCATTTTTCGTCCAAAGTAAATTTATCTTGATTTAAGAATTTTTTAATATTTGTAATGGAAAACAAGACAAAAATACTAAGAATGAAATAACTTTTTGCAGTGATCACACAGAACACAAAACTTGGGTCTCTTATTTTCTGATAAATGTATCAAAATGAGTTTTTGATTAAAATGAGAACAAATATCTGCCAGTGTGGTCAGAAAAATCTAATTACTTAAAAGGGAAAAAGTTTATTTATTTATACATTTTTATTTTTATTTTGACCCCATTTGGCAGATATTTTTCTTGTTTTAAGCATAAACTCACTTCATTTTGATACTTTTTTAGAAAACAAAAATTAATATCGGTTATTTTACTTCCAACGTAAATTTATCTAGATTTAAAAAAAAAACAATGGCTGTAATGGAAAATAAGACAAAACTACTAAGAAGGAAAATCATTTTTTGTAGTGCTCACGCATTTCATCTGCATTTTTCAGTTAATTTTTTATTACCGCTCATCCACTAGGATCTCCTTCTGTTGTTGGTGTGGTTTCACGCCTGTCATTTGCCGTATACTGACAGCATAGATCTTCGTCGTGTAATCCATGCTCTTTTCCCGAGCGACGTCACTGTCGTACCCTAAACACACAAATGTTAGTTAAATAAAATTGAAAATGTAAAATAAAATAAAATTAAATAATAAATTGTAACATTTAAATTTAGAATTCACATTGAAATTTTAAATTTAAACTTAAATTATAAATAAATGTAATCACAAACAAAAACAAGAGCATCACCTCCATCCTCCTCAGCGTCGTCGTCTGATTCCTCGCTGTCCACGGCTTTGCTCTCGCGTGGACCAATCCCCTCTCTCGCCCAGATCATGAGGGCCGAGTCGGCCCCGCCCACCGACAGCAGCATCGCGTCGTCATTGGACCATCGAACGTTCGTCACATTGGCACTGTGAGCCACATACTTTTTAAACTTGGCAAACTGACCCTGTATAAAATAAAATAAAGCATCAATAAACTACGTTCGACTTGTTTTATGCAGAAAGCTCTGGTTTTATATAAGACTGTTCAAAAGTTATTATTTTTTACAATTAAAATGTAAAAAAATAAATTCATATTTTTATTCAGTGTGGATGCAATTTTGCCACTTTTACAATATAATAAATGATAAATAATAAAATATAATAAAAATATAATAATAATGCTGTTCTTCTGAACTTTCTATTCATCAAAAATGTATTGCGTTTCCACAAAAATATTAAAGGCACAATATGTAAGTTTTCGCCGCTAGAGGTTGCATTTTCAAAACAAAAACAAAGGCGAAGCTTGATGACGCTATGAAGGAGAGTGGAACGATGGGGGATGTCGTTTTCACCATCCAGAGATGTCCGAATCATGTTCATGGATGTAATGAATTAATTTTTTTTATTACCTGTACCTTCCAAAGTTATTCAAACAGTGAATAAATTATATAGAGAAAGCGAGCAAAGAACATTTAACGTTACATTGTCAAAGAACAGTATGCCTGACTTCAGTCTAGCACGAGTTTAAGCACAAAAAACAAAAAACTCCCCTTATAATCAGTAAAGCTGTCTAAACACTGTTTGATGAATTAATCTCCTACTTACATCATACGTACATCTGCACTTTGTTGTTTATGATGAGAGAATACACTCAGTGAGAGCGTGCACTGAACAACAAAACTCCGGTGTTTTTGCGATGACTCATCTTAGTAAAAAATTCGAATTTCGAATATTCGTCGAATTAAATTTAAAAAAAAACGTTGCATTCGAATTTAAGGTCTGCGTCAGCCATCAGGCAGCCTATCAGTGGCGCACGAGATGCGATGACGAAGTTTGTGTCATTGATTGCATTTGAATGCTTTTGTTAGCCTATCCAGATGAACCCACTAGATGCGGCGCTGCTACGTCGTTCATTCATATATTGTGGAAAACGAGAGCATCAGTGTGGAGAAGATGTAGTTTACGTCAAAACAGAAACCAAGCCGTTCACACAGAATGCATATTTATCACATTTTCTAGAGGGACATCTATCAGCATTGCACTCGCGTCTCGCACAAGAGAGCGGCATGTTTAGAAAGCCATGTAAAATTAATGTAAGTTCAACTTTTAAAAAACATGTCTAAAGACGTTATGGCGGTTTTTCCCCATCCCACCGTATCTCATGTTTTTAAATGAAGAAAGTAGCCTACTCTTTGTGATTGGTTTTCGGTCCTTTGTATTAAACTATACATACATGCATGGTGCTGTTTTTTTTCTAATTGTTTAAGCAACTTGATTAATTATATATGGTTTATTAACATTATTTTAAACATTATGAACTTTTTTTCAAAGATAGAAATTATGCCTTTTAAATTCGAATATAATTAGAATTTTGATAATATTTAAGTAGAAAATTCGAATTTAGTTTTTCAGTCATTTTGACAGTCCTAACTCATCTAAACGCCTCTGATTGGCCGCTGCGTTCATAAACTCAACAGACTCGTGTGTGATTGGTCATGACGTGCAACACTGTAAAAGATTCATGGTGCAACATTGAGCAGATCTAAATTTAATGCTGCAGTCAACACTTTTAATTTCATTTTCATTTTATTCGCGACTGCTGTAATGGATTTAGTTTAACTGCAACAGCATTTTTGTCCACGTGTGTTGCCATAGTTTCTACAAGCGGAAACCGATAGCGTGGATATTACGTCATTGATAGGCGACAATGAACCAGGACGAGCCATTATTTAAAATTTGAATTTCTCTGGATTTACAAATCCTTGGGGACTTTTGGGATAACGTAAGTGCACAACTGCATGAAATATATGTGCAAGTGTTTTTTGGATATTTTATTACGAAAATCTTACATATTGTGCCATATTGTGTAATTTTCCACATTGATAATAATCAGAAATGTTTCTCGAGCAGCAAATCAGCATATTAGAATGATTTCTGAAGGACCATGTGACACTGAAGACTGGAGTAATGATGCTGAAAATACAGCTTTGATCACAGAAATAAATTACATTTTAACAGATATTCACATAAAAATTAGCTGTTTTAAATTGTAATAATTTTTCACTTATTTTACAGTATTTTTGAACAAATAAATTCAGCAGAAGAGACTTCTTTCAGAAACACTAAAAATCCGACCCTAAATGCTTTAACGGCAGTGTATATGAATATATGATTTGATTTTGCTGCTGTCAGACCTTGCAGGGGAAGCTGAAGAGCTTGACGAAGCCAAAGTCGTCTCCAGTGGCCAGCAGCTTCCTGTCTTTGGTAAGTGAAGAGGTGTTGACGAAGCTGAGCGTCGGCCAGATGCCCTCACAGGTGGGACCCAGCACTGACGTCCATGTGGCCCATTCCATCTTCTCAAACTGAACACACACAAACACACAGGTATGTGATGAGAACACTTGAGTTGGCGATATATCTGGCTGTGTGTGTCATCTCTTTACCTCTGAACTGCTGATAGTTTGTCGTCTTCCACGTGGAGCTTCAAAAAATAGCTGCTCTTTGGCACCAGTGTTGACTTGAAGCAGTTTTCCTGCATTAATACACACACACACTAAAAGCTTGATTATGTCCTTACGCATTTGTTTCTTTCTTTGATAAAATGATGGATTTCTGCAGGTGCTGTTTCAATTTTCCCAAAGCAAAATACATATTCTTACAGCCAGGGGACAAAATTAATAGTCAAAAGTGAGAAAAATTGGTTTTGGTGAGTAATTCATCAGTAACCGTTAACTCTGCAACAAAATGCATGACTTATAATACACATAATGACCTTTGCTGTCACTAACATGCAAGGAATAACTGCAAAAAAAAAAAAACCCTGCTGTTTCCAAATAAAAAGTCAATGCAAACTAGAGTTTCATGTCCAGCAATTTCAATTGAAATGCATGTGTAGATTGATTTTAATTGTAACGCTCAACTCATCACATGTAGAGAGACATTAACTTGCATATTATTGCTTGAATCTATATTTGTGAGTTCTGTATGTTTGGATTACCGCGGACGTCCCAGTCCACATGTGTGATACAGCTGGACGCTCCTTTAAAAGGTCACCATGTCTTCCAGCGTGTCTGCATTCACCACCAGGAAGCTGCCATCGTTTAGACCCACCGCTAAGGCTTTTCCGTCTGGCGAGAAGGCACAGCATCGACCACCTACAAACACACACGACAGCAAAACCATCTGTGATTCTGAATCGGAGATCTTTCAAATGTGGCAGAAGATTAGCTAATGTACCTCTCTTAAGTTTCCGGACGGCCACCATTCGATGGTTGGCCGAAAGCTCCCAGATCCGCAGCGTTTTGTCGTCACTCACAGTGGCACAGATGGGCAGCAGTGGATGAGCAGCGAGGCCCCAAACTTCCCCCTCCATATGACCCTAAAACACACGTCAAACACAGACTTCAACTAGTTGAGCAGCCTGACCTTCTATCTTTTTACTCTGCATCTGTATTTGCAGCTGTATATTTGAGAGTGACACACACCTGTACGAGTAAAGTCATGGGGCCGCTCTTGTCGATCTCCAGGATCTCTCCGTTTTTGGTGCCGACCAGAATGTGTCCGTGTCCCAGAGTGATTGCTTTGATGGACGGGTTGTCCTCCAACAGCAGCCCTAAGAAATAAAAACAGAAGAACAATAAAGTTAAGTCTGGTGGTCTGTGGTCATTACCATTTTATTTTATTTTTACTTCATAGGAATGGTATGAAACTTGGTGACATTTGACAGTAATGACCACCATAGAAACTGAATGGGAAATACAGAGTCATTTTTGGGGTGCCATGATGAAGTAGTCCTTGATAGTGTCTGAATATATATGACCCTGGAGCACAAAGCCAGTCTTAAGTCGCTGGGGTATATTTGTAGCAATAGCCAAAAAAACATTGTATGGGTCAAAATTATCGATTTTTCTTTTATGCCAAAAATCATTAGGATATTAAGTAAAGATCATGTTCCATGAAGATATTTTGTAAATTTCCTACCGTAAATATATTAAAACTTAATTTTTGATTAGTAATATGCATGGCTAAGAACTTCATTTGGACAACTTTAAAGATGATTTTCTCAGTATTTTGATTTTTTTGCACCCTCAGATTCCAGATTTTCAAATAGTTGTATCTCGGCCAAATATTGTCCTATCCTAACAAACCGTACATCAATGCAAAGCTTATTCATTCAGCTTTCAGATGATCCACAAATCTCAATTTGGAGGAATTGACCTTTATGACTGGTTTTGTGGTCCAGGGTCACAAATATCCAAACCTCTTAACAGATGGCACCAATCTGCCTGCCTTTTAAATTAAACACTGTATTCATTTAAAATAATATGCACTATTTTTTGTATTATTTTGTATAGAAATAGTGTATTATTTAGAGGCAAATATCGTCTAGTACTATGAAATCCATAAAAAAGTACAAAATATTATTGAAACAACATATAGTACATTTATTTCAATAAAAAGTTAAACACTATTAATTTAACAGAAAAAGTGTATTCATTAAACGTAATATGAATTATTTTTCTATTAGAAATAGTGAATAATTTAGAGGTGAATATTGTCTAGTACCATGAAATCCCATGATAATACAAAATATTAAATCATAAATATCATTAAAACAAAATACAGCACATTTGTTTCATTAAAAAAACTCTAAACACTATTAATTTAACAAACACTGTATTTATTGAAAATATGAATTGTTTTTCTAATATTTGCATTGTTATATAGAAATATAAAATTTGTAGTACCATTAAATCCCCTCAAAATACAAAATATTAAATAATAAATATTACTGAAACAAAATATAGTACATTCATTAAACAAAATTAAACACTGTATTAACTTAACATAAACAATGTATTAGTTGAAATTAATATGCATTATTTTATTAAAATTATTATTATTTTATATAGGAATAAATTGTGTTTTAGAGGTGAATACTGCCTAGTATCATTAAATACAAAAATATTGTACAATCATTTCATTAAAAAAACACTGCATTAATTAAAAATAATATTAATTGTTTTTTAAATATTTATATTTACATATTTCATATAGAAATAAAAATTTTAAAGGTAAATATTGTCTAGTACCATGAAATCCCCTCACAATACAAAATATTAAATTATAAATATTATTGAAACAAAATATAGTACATTAATTTCATTAAAAAAAACACTGTATTAATTAAAAATAATATTAATAGTTTTTTCCAATATTTATATTTACATATTTTTATTTTATATAGAAATAAATATTTTTAGGAGGTAAATATTGTCTAGTACCATGAAATCCCCTCACAATACAAAATATTAAATAAGAAATATTATTGAAACAAAATATAGTACATTAATTTCATTTAAAAAATGTCTGTTTTGAGGATTTATAATCACCCTTAGATGAAGGCGAGAGCGCCGCCCTCTTGATAGCGTACGTCTTCAGACATCTCTCGAACACGTCGTCCCACAGCTCAACAACTCCATCTTTACCCCCCGTCACAAAACCCTTCAGGTCACAACACACCATTAACAGCTAAGAAATAAATTTTTACCTACTGTTGAACTATATTTAATGCACAGACTAAGCAGGATGCCAAGTACTCCGTATATAATTCATACAGTAAAAAGCAACAACCACCCTCCCTCTTCTCATCGAAGACATGCGATGCAACACTAAACAGTCTCTCGCTGTGGGTGCTTGTCGCTATCGGTCTTTCTCGGACACTTTTAAATGCTTTCACACTGCCGACATGTTTGCTGCATTAGTGCGCGCCTCTATTTGATCATGTCACGTCATTGTTCGGTACAATTTACTTGGCCTTTTAACTTATTTGGCCAAACACCAAAAGAGCTTTTTTTTTTTGCTATTTTCAGCCGAATAATTTCGGTTGCCAAACATTCAGTGCATACCTACAAAAATGCATGTAAAACATTAATAAATATTTACCGAAATGCATCAATTAAAAATTTAATATTTTTTAAATGTGTCTTCCATTCTTCCATGTATATGCATTGATGCATCACCTTCCTGATTAAATTAAAATCAATTTTCAATGCCCTGTGCGCTTTGCATTATGAGTGCTATTTAACTAGAGAGTATCAAATCAGTGACTTATGGATCTGACCTTTAGGAGGCAGCTGCCTATATAGTAGGGATGGGCATTCCAAGCAAAAATAATATTCGAAAATCGCTGGGTATTATTCGATTATTATTCGAAAATCGCACACCTCCCCTGCATGCACGCACAAACACCCATAAACAGAGAGAGAGGGAGAGAGATGGGATTCACGCTTTCAATCTGTATAATAAACTGTTTAATTTAGAAGATAGGCTACCTTAACTCAAGCCATATAATGATTGTAACGTGCTGAAACATATTAATATAATAAACATAACCGAATGACGGCACTTATTAACATAACTGTCCGTCTATTAGCATAAATCAACTGCTCATAAGGCTAAGATATTTATTTCCATTTCAAAAAATGGAACCCAATATCTTCTGTCGCAATTATATCTTTGGGCAATTATACTGTATATAAACTGCGGGAATCGGAGCCGTTATTAATATGCGAGGCATTGAAATCGCTTTTGAACGCGCGCTTGTTTTTTTACTTTCACTTTCGAGATTCGCGATCACACGTATCGAGCAGCACTCTGCAGTACTTACCACACATTTTACAAGATTAGGTGTTTGTCAGTGCTGCTCAGGATCTGCAAATCATTCGCCATCATCCTATCAGTCAGCTCTCCTTACTCTGTTTATGTGGTAAGTGAAATGTTATGTACTGTAATGTAACAGGCTAGCAAGCGGCTAACCATGTCCCTTTAGTGGCTCCGTAGATCGCGTTATTTGTTTTCCGCGCCTTTCTGAATACAGATTCAGCCACACCTCTAACCCAGTCGGGGGTGTTTGTGGTCCGCACAGAACTCTTATTTGACATCATCCCAAGTTACTGTAACCGTTATATGCTACGCAAGTCTTTTTTTAATGCCACGCAAGTCTACAGTGTGCGCGTGAAACAATGTGTTCTTCTATTGTCTTTGACAGATTTTAGGTGCGTTATTGGCTGCTGACATGAACGCTTCACCACCGCATCAGCACGGAAAACATGGGGAGATTTTAAAGACAATAATCGCACAACCTATTTGATATTCTATAATTAAATCAACTAATCGAATATTCGAAAATCATGGCCCATCCCTAGCAGTGCTGGGGAAAGTTACTTTTAAAAGTAATGCATTACAATATTGCGTTACTCCATCAAAAAGTAACTAATTACGTTACTTAGTTACTTTTTATGGAAAGTAATGCGTTGCGTTACTTTTGTGTTACTTTGAGATCTGGACAGGGCTTGCTTGTTTGATTTTAAAATAAAGAAGTTCTATTTTTTGCAAATATAAAAGCCTTTTCACACCAAAAGTGAAATGAATAAGCCTCAGGCTGAGTAGAATGCAGAAGACGACATTTCAACACACTTCAGCAGTAAAAAAAGACACACAAATGTTCGTCTAGAGTAATTTTTGCTTATTAGTACGGTTGAACTGGATCATCGAAGGTCAAAAGCAAAGACATTGGTTAATAGAATGGTATTAAATACATAAAGGATATTTGTGTTGTTTAACATTTAATTATGGCAGGTTTGCGTCATATTCTGAGTTGCATTATTTTTATTCATTTTGAGGAATTCTGAATCTGTTGTTTTTTTTTTTGTGAGTGATTTTAATGAATGCATATTCATATTTATTTTAGAACTATTGATTTCTCAACATGTGGACAGGAGAGCTGTCAATTAATACATTGAAAAAAAAAGTAACTTCCGTTACTTATTTGAAAAAGTAACTCAGATATTCTCTTGTAAATTAAAAAGTAATGCGT